CTGCACAACGGTGCAGGAAGTGCTAAATAATTAAATATATATTTTAAATAAAAAATCCAAGCAGACTGTGCGGCTCATCCATCAATCAGCCAATTGTGTGTCATGTCCAATTTTATTATGAAAAAACGTGAGTCAGCGAAAAAAGATCCGTCAAGTAGCGAGGGACTACTGTATATAAAAACAGTTTGCATATGTTTGTATACTGTAAAGGAAGATTTATTGTGTATTTATTTGTATACATCAATTGTATCCATTTGTATAGAACTATCATTAATAAAACATGGTTCATCACTACACTGGTAATTTATTCATTTTACCTGCCAACCAGGTGAAGCCTTTCAGTGATCTTCTCCATGTCATCAAAGGATATTTCCAGATGCCAGAGAGGGGCTGCGGGTGAAAGAGACAGTTTTCCTCTGAGAAGTCAAACCACTTCTGGACGTAACTGATGGCAGTGTTTCAGAAGTCCTGCCTGGCAACATCAGCTTCAGACGGCAAGAGACGATGAAGCTTTTGTCCTGTTAGGTAGCCGTAGAACCCATCATCTCATCTCTGTATTAGTCTTCTCAAAAAAAAAAAAAAGAGTCCATGATGGAGTAGAGGTCCACGGACGTGGTTACATTCCTCTCTCGCTTTTCACCACCTCCTCAAAATAGAGACATCACATTATTGCAAAATAGGAGGTAGACTTCCACAATGTCTGCTTCTTGTTCAACTCCATCAGCATCTTCTGTCAACCTCAGCAATGCTTTCAGGCGACTTGGACATTCCTCTCCAAAGCTGATGAGACGGGACTTGAGTGGGCCCCAGTTCTGCAGCAGGCGGGTGATTGCAGGGTTGAGTGGCAGCCATCTTGTCACCACATGGCGCAGGACTTCATGAAATTCAACGTCACAGAATTCACAGAACTCTTTCAGGGATTCTCTCCTTTTGGCAGAGGTGGAAAAGAAACTGTACATCTTGAGGACAATGTCTTCCACATCCACTGAGAGCTTGTCCAGGGCTTTTTTCACGGTGATATAGACGATATGTGCATGGCAGATGCCACGAAGAATCTCACTGTTGGCCTCTCAATTTTGTGAAGACTGAGTTGTGGATGCCATAATTGACATTTGTGTTGTCAGCGCTGAATGCAGAAACATGATCTAGGGATAGATCCGTGTTTTCAAGAGAGCTTTGTATAATTTTGACTATCCCCTCAGCAGAGTCATCTGAGTTTTCAACTAAATTTATTACCTTACCCCGTTCACACCAGACTGCACAGCCAAGAGAAGCATCTTCCGATTTCTCTCGTTTGAGGCATCGGCGTGAAGGGAGAACAGGAGTGGGTTGCTTCCACTTTTCAATTTTTGGACCACTTCTTCTACTGCTTTTGGACACAGGACATCAGTGACCACAGCCTCAGCCTTCGTCCTCCCACAGAACATCATCTTGCAATGCTGGAGTCATTCAGTGTTTGGAGTGTCGGCTTAAATCCAGTCGGCTGAGTTGTACCTTAAAGCACGTTACAGTGTGGTATATACGGACTATCTCTGCAGTAATCTGTAATCATAAACATAGGAAATACTATATAAATTCATTCGTGTATTTTTTTTATTTATTTATCTGTTATGCATTTGTTTTTTTAATTCTACTTGTTTATCACAATAGAAAATATATTTTTGGCCTTTAATTCTCATTCATTGCAGTTTCACACATTAAACTTATCCTTTTTTTTCCTTACATACCATATCTGCCTCTGGCGTTGTACGGTGGACAACATACTGGTCAAGTGTTCTCCTGGTTTTGTTGTCTTTCACATTTCTTATGTGTCCAATGGTGGAAGCTGTTGGACATCAAACTGTCCACCACGGGCAAAAGAAAAGTGCGCTGCCAGACAGTACAGTGCGCTTTAAAGCCATTATTGTGCACCCTTTCCAACCACACGCGATTCTTTTCCTACTCGATTCTGTATTTTTGCAGTTGTTTTTTTTCTTCCTGTTGGAATGGTCGGGCTATTGATGGAAGATGAACCGTGTGTGCGGTTTAAATCCTCTGTATTCCTGCCGCTCGCGTCCATGAAGTCTTGTTGTCGAATCCCGTCTGCCGGCGGTTGTGATAAGCAACAGTAGCTGGACCAATGAGATGAGCCGGATTCTGTAGCTTCGTTCACATGTGTAAGAGGGCTGCCAGTTCATCGGTCACAGAGCTGGAGGGGGCTGGTAGTTAATTTACCATAAAATTCCATATAATGCACTCCATTTACTAACTATTGACATGGACATGTTTTTTGATTCTCACGATAATACGGGACAAAGTGCGTCACATTTCAGATCAATACAGGACACGCACTTTTGTTTCTAAATACGGGATGATTCTGTTTTTCACGGGACGGTTGGCAACCCTAGGACTAGGGCAGTGCCGGGGGGTGGGGGGTGACGTCGCTGAATAATATATTCCCACCCCCCACCCGAAACATGTAAAAGGCAGAACTAATGTTGCAATGCCTCGTTGCAGCCTGATTCAACTTGGGACTGCAACAACAAACAAATTTATCTCCTCCTGTATTTGTTGTTTTTCTCTTTAACCGAATGTAAGTTTGGAAAATGGAGACGTCACTAAAATCGAGGATTTTAATCGAAGATCGCAAACTGATTTAATTCACCGTGTTTTATTAAAGAGGCAGATGTCACTTCACAGAGGTGAGTTCTCCTGACCTCAATGCTCACTTCATCTCTAAAAACTCAAAGTGGGACAGGTGTTGTACCAAAAATGTTCATGCGCCACAGGAACATGCAGTCTGGGTGCAAATTTTGCTATTGGAGTTAAATAAAAACACTAAAACGAGTCCTCCTTTTAGTGTTAAACTCGTAAAATCTACTCCTAAAGTCCTTTTATCACAGTTAGAACAATGGGTTGGGATTACAGGTGCCATGTTAGAATGGTTCTGTTCATACCTGAGCGGCAGGAGTTTTTGTGTTAATGTTGGTAAAAGTCTATCCACTTCAGTGCCTCTTTCCTGCGGGGTCCCGCAAGGCTCCATTCTTGGACCGCTTCTGTTTTCATACTATCTGCTCTCCTCAGGGTTTATCCTGAGGAAACAGTCTTTCCTTTCATTGTTATGCTGATGATTCTCAGATTTATCTGCCCTTGAAACCCAACAGTTCCTGCTCCATTCACCCCTTACTAAAATGTCTTGATGACATCAAGACTCGGATGGCTACAAAAGTTGTTGAGTTTTAATGATCAGAAAACTGAGGTCATTGTGTTTAACCCTAGCTCCACCACTGTCTCTGATCCTGTAAACCTGGACTCCCTTCAGCCATATCTAAAACAGTCTGTTACCAATCTTGAGATAGTTTTAGATGCAGATTTTAAGTTTAATAAACAGATGAACTCTGTTCTTCAAAAAAGCTTCTTCCAGTTAAGGCAGATAGCTAAGCATAAGTCTGTGCAGACCAGATCCGACCTTGAAAAATTAGTTCATGCATTTGTTACAACCCGGCTGGACTACTGTAACTCGCTTTATGTAGGGGTCAGTCAGGTCTCTCTCCCACGTCTCCAGCTCGTACAAAATGCTGCAGCTCAGCTACTAACAGGAACTCACATATTTCACTGGTTTTGGCATCCCTTCACTGGCTTCCTGTGTGATTTTAAAATGCTCCTGCTGACATTTAAGTGCATTAATGGTCTTGCACCCTCATACCTCTCCGAACTTCTTCATCCTTATATTCCTTCTTGGGCTTTGAGATCATCGGACCAGCTGCTTTTGGTAGAAGCTCAGATGAGATCGGGCTTTTTCAGTCGTGGGCCCTAAACTTTGGAACAATCTGCCCATCAACTTTCGACAGACCACTTCAGTCTCTGCTTTTAAATCCGTCCTGAAAACACACCTGTACTCACATTTAACACACGGTGATCTGATTTGGTATTTCATAGTTTCTGATTATGTTTTGTGTTTTTATGCTTTTATTCCTGATGCTGTAATTATATCTTGTTATTTTTTATTTGATGCTGTGATCTTTTTGTTACACACTTTGGTAACAGTTCCTGTTTTAAATGTGTTATATAAATAAATATGACTCGACTAAAATATGAAAATTCGAATGACCAAGATATTAGTGAAGGTATTTCTCCGTTTCACTTTTTTTTTTTTTTCTAAACTCACAATCCAACAATGGTTCAGTCAGGTCATCTGGACGATTTATTTTTGTGCCAAGATGTTTTGTCCATCATCCAATGGACTTCTTCAATCTGAGGAACCACCAAACAAAACTGATTCTCCACCAACAGTATACTCCAAAGTGTGAAAAAAATGACCTGGCTGAACCATTGTTGGATTTTATACCTGGATTATTGAGCATGAACTTTGGTGTTTTAAACTCACAATGTTCTCTCTGTGAACGAGTCAGTTTCACTTGTTTGAAGTACAGAAACAAATATCTGGAGATTTCAGTATACGGGATTAAAACAAAAAAAAAGTTTTTTGAGAGTTGTATGTGCATATCTGGTTTATACCGGTACTTGTAATCATATTATGACATGACTGTATTGTGATGAATATAGCTCCTACATGTCTCTGCGTGAGTGCAGCTACAGCGTGCGCTCTCAGGACATCATTACCTGCAGTGTTCCTTAAGTGAGGACTGAACTAGACAAAAGGGCCTTCTCCTACTCCGCTCCTGTTTCCTGGAATATCTTGTAAAAAGATCTGAAGCTCTCGACCTTTGACCTCTCTAAGTGGTTTTAAGAATCTGTTGGACTCCTGGCAGGGACCAATGCAGACATGTTCCTGTTCTTAGTTTCTACATTCGCCTTAGAATCTAGCTGTTTTTATTACTTTTTTTGCCATCTTATTTTAATTTGTAAAAAAAAATAAAAATCTGTATGACTTTTTATAACTGTTTATTGTTGTTGCTGTTGCCATTGTTGTCATCATTCTTTGTTGAAATCAGGTCTCTCTTGTAAATGAGTCCTTGAGGCTCAATGGGATTAACCCGTCTAAATTGGATGAATTTTCTCTATAAACGAAACGGCTTAATTAAAAAAAGACTAGTGACAACATCGCTGCTCTGAGGACACATGAACCTCCAGGACTCTTCATCATTCTGGATACAAAACAAAAAACTCAAATACCGGTAAGTTCGGTTAGCATCCTACAGTTCTGTTAGCATCCATCAGTTCTCTTAGCACCTATTTGCTAGCACCCATTAGCTTTGTTAGCATCCATTAGTTCTGGTAGCATCCATGAGCTATGTTTGCATATATTAGTTTTGGGGCCGCTGGCGTGTAGAGGTAGGGCAGCTGACCCAAGACCAGAAAGTCGCAGGCTCAACTCCCCCACCATGCCCACGTCAAGGTGTACTTGAGCGGCTCAGGAGGACCTAATAGGACCAGTAATGTGTATTTTATACACGCCAATAAAACTGAAATAAACCTCAACAAACATCAGCTCAGCCTGAGTGCACGTTCATGTGAGATTTCACAAGTGAAGTCAGATTAAAATGTTTTCTACAGGTTGTACAAAAATATGGCTTCTCCCCCGTATGGATCATCAGGTGTCTTTTACAGTCGAAATTGGTACTAAATCTGTTTCCAGAAATTTTGCAAGAAAAAGGCTTCTCCCCTGTGTAGCTTCTCACGTGGACAGCTAAATTGCTATAAGCTGGGAACTTTTTACCACATGTGGGACAACAGTACTGCAGTCTGTCAGAGTTCTGGTTCCTAACTGTGTGGACCTCTACATGATGGATCACAAGTGAATTCTCTGTAAAGGCTTTCCCACAGATATTACAAGAAAACAACCTCTCAGATGTTGCTGATTGGTCTGCTTTGTTACCGTGACAAACGTTTCTGTGATTCATCTTCTTTGACCCTGAATCTTGATGCTGGTCTTCAGGTCCAGCAGAACTCTGGGAGATGAGCTGCTCCCCGTCTGGTTCTGGTTCATGTTCTTCAAACAAAGTGGTCACCATAAATGGATCAGTCTCCTGCTTCAGATGGAGCTGATCTTCATCCTGATTGCTGTAGAGTCCCTGCTCTTCTTTAATCAGTGGAGGTTCTGGTTCCTCCTGGTCCAGGCTGGAGTTCCTTTCCTGGTTGTAGTGCTGCTTATTCATGAAGATCAACTCTATTTTGTGGACCGGTTCCTGTCGGAAGTCTGAAAGGACCAAATGACAAAACGAAGAAGTTAAATATAGTAAAAATAAAAAAGTAGTTCTGTTTTTTACTCCATAAATGAACAATGACACTATAACTGGCAACTGGAGGGAAATATTTTAAAATTCCCAATTCTGGTCTCATGTAACCCAAACAATCTGCTAGTCTGGATTTCTGAAAGTTCACACTGCAGGTCTTAACGCTTAGATCTGATGTTTCTGCTCGTTTTACTGAGTTTTTTTTTTTTTTTTTAACTCTGAAGGGATCCAGCATCCCTCTGTGTCTTCTGCCACTGAGGAGCTAACCCCTCAGCCTCACTCTGTTAAAATGTTTTGGAGCGTGTGGATCCAGTTAAAACCAGGCAACCAAAGTTCAGATCAGAACCATGGTTAAAAGACATCACCCTAGCTATCAGACGGCAGTGCAGTAGGGCAGAACAGAAGTGGAAGAAAGACAGGTTGCAGGTTTCTTTTGAAATGCTGAAAGAAAGTTGGCGTTGTTATAAGAAAGCTGTAAAAGCTGCTAAATCTAAATAATTTAATATAATTGTCACCAACTCTCACAACACCAGAGTTCTTTTTTATGCTACTTTGAGCTCAGTTCTTCACCTTTACAGGACATGTATGAGGACTGTAGGAAATGTATGAGGACAGCAGGACAGTGGTGAGATGTGCTGGAGGAGTGACAGATAGCTTCAAGGTGGAGGTGGGAGTGCATCAAGGATCGACTCTGAGCCCCTTCTTGTTTGCTCTGGTGATGGACCGACTAACAGATGAGGTCAGGCAGGAATCCCCGTGGACTATGATGTTTGTAGATGACATTGTGATCTGTAGTGAGAATAGGGAACAGGTGGAAGAGAACTTGGAGAGGTGGAGGTATGCACTTAAAAGAAGAGGAATGAAAGTCAGTCGTAGTAAGACAGAGTCCATGTGTGTGAATGAGAGGGAGGAGGTGGAACAGTGAGGCTACAAGGAGCAGAGGTCACAAAGGTGCAGGACTTCAAGGACTTGGGGTCCACTGACCAGGAAAACACAAAGTGTGGTGAAGAGATGAAGAAGAGAGTCCAGGCAGGATGGAGTGGATGGAGAAAAGTTTCAGGAGTGATTTGAGACAAAAAGGTGTTCACAAATGTGCAGGAAGATTTGGCGGCAGACGTTTGAAAGCTGGCGGCTGACTGGAGTTTTTGAGAGCTGAATCGACAAAAGAGATTGCTGATCTTGGGCGGTTGACATAAAACTGGTTTGTGACTGGACTGCTACTATGGCATCTCAGGTTGAGAACGATGGGGACGGTGAGATGGATTTAGGTGATTGGATTTAGGTGCGTGGGTCGAGAAGTGAAAGAAATAGAAACGAAGAGACCAGTACTTTGCAAAGTAATAAACAAAGCTTAGAAGAAAACGGATTGGAGGAAAACAATGTGGTTAGTGAGAGGGCTGTTAGGGAGGAATCCAAACTAATCATAAAGTTTAGGAAGGAGGATGAAGGAATTCAACTAAGTCTGTTAGCTCTGTTGAGAGAATTAAAAAACAAGTTTAGAGAGCTGACACTTGCTAAGATTCTTGGAGATGGGAACCTGTTGATAACAGCTGAGAACGAAGAGCACAAAAACAAAGTGATGAACACCCAGAGTATTTGTAAAAAAAATACTGGTGGTGAGTGAGAAAGATTTTAGGAGAGGCTAAGGTAGCTAGAGGAGTGATCACAGGTATTCCAGTGGGTGAAGATCAGGAAGAGTTTAGTTGCGTATTTATGGAGGCGAGGTAAACAAAATTAAAAGATTAAAGAGAACAGTTGGAGATGAAAGAAAGGAAAGTCTATCCGTGATGTTGGAGTTTCAAGCAACTGTTCTTTCTGAAAGGATAAAAGTAGGATGTACCGTATTTTCCACCAGACACAGCGCTCCGCACTATAAGTTGCATCAGTCCATATTTGTCTAATAAAGTGGAAAAATCCATAAATATGTTGTTTCGCCGTATACATCGTCGCATCTTTTATGCGTCACCGCTGACAAGCCGGAAATGTGGACAGATGTGCCAAAAACCAACGGGCTGCCAAATGGTGGCTGCGGGAGTGTGCACAGGAGGACTTTAATAAGAATTTAACAAGATTAGCACTTAAACCAAATATTTGTTTGCTCGAAATTATAGCAAAGGTGTGTCTCAGTCTAACATTTGCTTAATAAATGCAGTTTAATGGTCAAATTAGCTGCACTTTGCCGGGGCGGTGCAGCTGTTTTGACGGTGCCAAGCAGTGAGCAGAATGAAGGTGGGGGACTATGGCAGGCCGATTGAGTCATTAGAAACAGGGCGCACATTTCCTCTGTGATTTTTGTCGGGGGGGGATGAAGACGGACGGAGACACGTCCTAAGCTGGGCAGCGCGCCGTTTAAACGAACAGTTTTCGGGGGGGAGAGACACAGAGACAGCTACGCACTGTTTGCACCGACAGTTTTACAGTTTTAGGGTGTGTGAGACAGCGACACATCTCAGCCGAGCGCTGTCTGAACAAACAGGATTTTTTAGGGGGGGGGGGGGCGGGGGGGGAGAGACAGACGCACATCTGAGCCGTGCACCGTTTGTATCGACAGTTTTAAAGTGGCGGGGTGCGTTCAGCGTGAGGGTTCAGCATGAGGGAAAAGGCTGCCTTTAGCTTTTTAGCTAGCATACCGGCATTGCGAGCTGCTAGTTTAGCATTACGTCAGTGCCGACAGGTGCTGGGGTTTGGGTTCGACACACGGGGCGCTCGGTTCTGTTGGCGGGGCGCCCCGCTTGTATAATGGTAGAGGAAACGCTGCATATTATTTTTCTTTTTGTCACGTGGTCCACACTCCTTACCAGTTGGTGGCAGTAATGCTTCCTTCAGTTGTAGTGTTTCCCCTACCGTTATACAGGCAGGGTGCCCCACCCCACCCCACCAACAAAACTGAGCATCCCGCCTATCAAGCTGAACTTGCCCCCCCCCCACCCCCACCCGACACTGACATATAACTAAGGTAGCGGCACAAAATACAGGCTCTCTAGCTAAAAAGCCCAAGGCATCACTCACATTGTTTCTCCCCTCATGTTGAACGCCCCCCCCCCCCCCGCCCAAACCCTTACCCCCAACCCCCCCCCCACAACCCCCCCCCCCCCCCCCCGCCATCAGCAAAAATCATGGATAAGATGAGCACCCCGCCATGTCAAGCTAACTAGGGGAAACACTGAGTTGTTTGCCAACCGCCAGTATGATAAAGAAGAAGAAGGTGCAGGACTTCAAGGACTTGGGGTCCACTGTCCAGGAACATGG